CCCCCCAAAAAGTGATTTTTCCGAAGTCTGATTGCAGCCATTTTTCAAGTGGCAACCCTCAACTTACTCGGGCACTTGGGACCATTTTTCAACCGTAGTTTTTAGCCCTTCTGCCCTCACATGAAAGCTCAAAGACCCAGGGAGTTGATCCTGGCAACGATTTACACAATCTCACCATTTTGGGGGCCAAACAATCTCCTTTTTCAAAAGATACTGTGGGGGCACTTTTAATGCTAATGAGCTGGTCAAAAATTCTCTCTTGAATTAGTGGTCTGCACCCTAAGCGTACCCGATACCTGCACATCATTACACTATGGTAAATTTTGATAATGAATACGTATCCAAGCTTACATCAGTATCCTACTTTGATTCTTAATATACACGTACTTGATGTAGATATTGAAAGCCAACGCTTTTAAATGGTTGGTAATTGTTGTCACTACATGTACAATCGAACTTGAGCTATCGAGGTAGCGCTTTTAAGTGTCTCCTGGCTATTTTTAACAATGAAGTATGAGCCATACCATGACGTCATGTTTAACTAAGTCGCATGTCCCACTAGGTTTTAAGTTTTAGGAGCTTATCGCGCTGATGGCAGGGGCGTGCATCCTGGGCAATAGGAGGTATATTATACCCATTTTTGACCTTAGAAATGAGCTATTTAATCATCTTTCAAATTTTTCTTGGTGATAAAATGTTAGGGCAGACAGCAAGGTATTTTTAGAGTTCCTCACAACCATAATTCATCCATTATTAGCAATGAAAAAAGGGGGCGGAAATGAAAAAAATTGCAAATATGCTGTTTTGAGGTTTAGGTTCAGGGTTGTAACATCCGTTATATGAACAACGCCCCCTAGGTTCGTATGGTGTCAGCATCAACCCTCCCCTGCTTTCCAATTTTTCATGGCTGGACAGTTTCGTTGGCTCGTGTCATTTCCCATACCTACCCCACCTCCAGTTCCCGGCACAACCATACTGTCTCGACGCTTACAACCCTACAATTTTTCCCTGCTGAAAAATAACGATCGCGATGTTCTCGCATGAAATACTTTCTAAAAGAGTCAGGCCCATATTTAGACAACGTTTTGCATTACTTCAAGGCCAATAAAATAATATGAAGTAATGCTAGATCAAAGCATTCCATTAATCAGTTTACCAATCCAGGCGTTAAGATTATTTGAAACGGTTTTCTTCTCATAGCCACACGATAACTGGCTGTCTCAAACGAAAAGAAGCAGTGTTCACACCACAACAGTTGTGTTTAACCTTCAGTTTGAATATATGCCACCGTCCTTGCACTTATATATTCATGTACTAAGAGGTACTTAAAATATCTTTTGTTTACAATATTACGTAACTAAGGAACTCAGTAACTAAGGAATAAGCTGATTTAATTCAGTCATTTGGCTATCGAAGTTTATACACAAAGGTATAAAGAGGGGCGAATTTCAGGAGTCACCCAGAGCGCACACATTTTCTAAGGGGGTCAGTGACAATTATGAACTGCCCCTCTTACATGGGTTGAATACTTTTCCAAATTTCGCATGGGGCCATCCAGATGTCTCCATTTGCAAGTTTCAATTGTACTCAACCTAGGCTTCCAACGGGGATTTACGTACCCTATGTCCTCCACACACGTGAAGAATGTTTTGAGCACAGAGAAACATGACCAATCACCTGCATGTTTCGACAGTATGCCGTCTCATCACTGTGAACGCAAGTTGGTCATTTGTGTGCGAGGAATAGTCAAAGTGACTACTTGGTGCTAAGTCACAATTTTTTGTATTAATGAGATTAATTTGCTGGTTGTATTTTGTCAATAGAGGGCGTTATTGAATTGGAATATGAGCTACATGTACATGCTTTCAGGTCACTCTTCTGGAGTTGCCATATCTGTTTGTCGAAAAAAACATTCATCCAAAAGAAAAACATTTTAAGTTCCTTTACTTTGGTTTTATGGACACTCTCCAAGTGTAGGGATTAATTCAGGGTATTTAATTGAGGAGAACATTACACAGAAAATCTAAACAAAGACACGTTTTATTGCTGAGGGCACACGTCATAAACGTTTATGGCATGTAAGGGGGATTATGTGCATCTATATTCACAAACTTCATTTACCTGTTATTCCGAGTTCGGTTTTGATTGTTTAACTTTAATTAGATAACCAGATTGCCGTTGCTGATTCAGGTTTGTCAATTTCAGTATTTGTTATGGACGGATTAAACCGGCTTCACGTATTTACAAGTTCAAGTTAACCAAGCTCATGGTCTCCGACACTGCATCCGTCACACTATGGTCTAGTCAAGCGTGATGTGACTTATCTGTTGTTTCTTAAACTAACCTGGTAGTCAAACTGACTAATTCCGTACCGTTAACAGCGGTACATTCTACATTTAACATACTTCTTTTTGAGGTCCGAAATTTCGGGGGAGGGGACTTGTTTTCCTAGTGTGACTAATAGTGAAAATTTTGACTTAAACCGTCACTGTTAAACTCCCACACAAGCAAGCTGTATTCAAATTTATCATGTCAAAACGTTGTTTTATCAGTACCTCACGTGATGTACCGATACATCACGTGATGTTCAGCTCAAGTTACTTAGTTTTAGGCGAATATGAAATAAGTTGTGTTTTCAAGTTTCCCTATCTGCGCTGTGGGGCAGATTGTGTAACTTCCTGCGTGATGATGTGACCACCGGCAAAGTTACGCTTTTAAAATTACACTTTCAGAAAACGGTGGGGTTTTTATTTTGTATAAAAACTGCAATTTTCCATTCCCAGACGTTTAAACTCCCGCTTTTCTATTTTGGTAAAATTAATTCATGGGTAATTACCGCATTTGTCATGTGAGAAAGAGCTGTTGGTTAGCACTTCCAGCATGTGGAAGACTTTTAATCGAGGTACGCTACGTTTCCTTATATCGCTACTATGGAAATACTTAATGTATCATGAAATGTATTTATTCGACAAAATAATCCATAATACTTTATTCTTTTAGACAGAGACACAAAACTAAGCCGTGAAAAAGGGCGGCAAAATGCCCCTGAAGATTGAACGCGCATGTTCATTCTCCCCGTATGCAGGAAGGTCCTGTGGTCCATGGGTTTTTGCAAGACAAATTACACCAGTTACGCTGCGTTGAAAACGCTTCTGCTGCGCTGAAAACGAACAGTGTTTTCAATGTAGCGCTTCTTGTTCTGCGGTTTCGAAGAAAACGACCAGTCCATTAGTGGCCCGCCTCCTATAACTCGCTGATGGCTTCCAAGCCTGAAGTCAGAGGCACATTCCTTGCCCCAAGGCAGGCATAAGATCCCTCCCTCTGAAGGAGGTCGGTTCACACACATGTTGTTTGTGTCTGTGGAGCCGACTGTCTTTACGAAAGCCGGTTTGGGAGACTTCAGACGAATTGACGGCTGAGTGACTGATGGAACTGCATGAACAGAGGCAGATACCTGTATACACCAAGGCTTTGGTTGAGATGGTCAGGCGCCTGTTTAGGAAGACATGATCCAGCAGACCCGCACCAAAACCGCAAGAGGCCTTTCGGGTGCGACTCTGAATTCCCTTGTCGATCGAGTATGAAAAAGACAGAATAGAGCCGAGGCAGTCGAAGCTCTGGGCAGACTTGATGGGCACGTCACCCGATTGTAAGTAATGGCATGGTAGTGAGTCGTCCTCAGATCTGTGGGGCTG